TTGGTCTTCATCCTCCTCCAATATCTCTTCAATTGCTGGTTGCTGCTGACGTTGACCAATGATTTCTTGCAAATCTTCAACCTGAACATTAAAAAATCCTGGTGCTGGGACTGACTGCGCTGCCTCCACTGTGTCCATAAGTGTTGCCGCCACGGACTGCCTCTCCACGCTTGCCTTGGTCTGCTCAGCCCCACATATCTCGGAGTTAGCGAACAAGGGCTTCCATGCATGTAGCACTGTTGCAAAATTAATCTTATGCCATGCCTCAACAATTCTGTCCACTGCATTTTTAATACAGTGATCCCTCGGTTAACGAATTACCTTCCATAAGATTCTTCACTTCGGTTAACGAGCAATCCCTGGATTAACAAATTCCTTACGAGTGCCCCTCAACATGTTTTCGCTTGCTCACTAGCTGTCTTATTAGTCCGCCAATACAAAAATCGGTTCTAGGGCTTAAATTCCTTACCATTTTAGTAAATATCAAGAAGGTTGTACCATTCAATCATTTTAAGTTTTATATTAAATTTTTTAGTCATTTTAACAATTATTGAACATAATTGAAGTACTGTACAGGAAACTAGTTTTATGCACGCCAAACAGCCACTCAACATACCAAGCTTGGCGTCAGTTTGTTTACAGGTTCAGAGGAAGGAACATCTTGTTTGAGACTTCAACATAAATGCTTTTTTTGTGTTTCCAGTCAAATTATTGGTCATTTTGAAATATATTTTGCATATTGATAATATATAGTGCAGTGCAGTGTTGATTTAAAGAAAATAATCTTGAATTACACCTAGTGAACTTAAAATTTTATGGGTGAAATGGCACATGGGGTGACTTCTCTTCCACCCCAATGCCTTCTCTTCTCCCTTCTCCACCCCCATTCTAATTCCCATCATCATCATCATCAACCAGGAGCCTTCTACATACACACCTCAATGTAAGTGTACTTTACTGCATTTATTTTTCGTTTGTATGTAATTTTCGGTGAGCTGGAACCAATTATCCCAAAACCCATTGAAACAATGGTTTCGGTTAACGAATTTTTCGGTTAACGAGCAACCTTCTGGAACGAATTGTGCTCGTTAACCGAGGGACCACTGTATATGTTTCTTCCCAAATTCACAAACTGATAACACTTCACAGTTGTGGGGTGGTGCATGTGA